TTGTCGTGACCAGGAGCAGCAATGACCCCGTGCGCTAGGTTTTCACTGAAAACTGGCTAGAAAATTGTATCTCTAGAATGAGAATAAATGACACCAGCAACTATTCGTATTTGTGATCAGCGTGGACAACCCTCGCAGAGCAGACCACGGGATCATTTAGGATTTGCTCGATGTGTAAAATTTTCCATTTATTGCAAACAGATTATTAACACGTGTGGTACAACTCTATAAAGCAAGTGAAACATAGCTGTTTGCCGCACCAGCTGCACTTGACGAATGCCAAGGAAAGAGCAGCTACCGGAAGCTCCGGGATGGTCGTCGACGGAAATACTCACGCTCGTACATGCTTGTGCGAGTGATGATGTACCGCAACCTACAGTCACATCTGAAGAATATGTGGTGTGTACCATTTCTGATCTCGACATGGCTTTCTCACCTGCTAGAGTTATTGGCCGCCTTCTATCGTCGTTCACGCCCGATTTTTCTCCTCCTACAAGAAAAGAAATCGCAATTGCCCGACGCCTCACGCACTCATCACTTGCCATGCCGAGTGATGTACGCAGATGGACGACTCGAAGAAAAGCTTCTCGTCATTCTTCCCGAAAAGGGAGGAGTCTTATACGCATGTAGGTTGTGGTACACAAATGCTCGCACAAGCATGTACGAGCGTGAGTATTTCCGTCGACGACCATCCCGGAGCTTCCGGTAGCTGCTCTTCCTTGGCATTCGTCAAGTGCAGCTGGTGCGGCAAACAGCTATGTTTCACTTGCTTTATAGAGTTGTACCACACGTGTTAATAATCTGTTTGCAATAAATGGAAAATTTTACACATCGAGCAAATCCTAAATGATCCCGTGGTCTGCTCTGCGAGGGTTGTCCACGCTGATCACAAATACGAATAGTTGCTGGTGTCATTTATTCTCATTCTAGAGATACAATTTTCTAGCCAGTTTTCAGTGAAAACCTAGCGCACGGGGTCATTGCTGCTCCTGGTCACGACAATGACCAGTCAGACACTCATTTTGGCACTGGTGCAGTTTGGAGCCAAGATGGAGGTGCCAGCATAAATGCAAAAAATTTGCGCGCGGAGGATCCGAACCACCAACCCAGTCCACTCGTGCCAACTCCAGTCCACAGCACTATCCGCTAAGCCATCCGTCGCTGCCGACATCCAAGCTGCAGATAGCTGTTATGAATCTTCCGCACACTCCGTAGCATGTAGCATGACAAGGATCCATTTTTGGCTAAACCTCACGTTATTTTCGATGCACAGTTCACTACGACCTTTTACTATGCCTATAGTTGACGCCATGAATGAAACACACCACGTTTAACAAGTAAAAACTGCAGTTTCCAACAAAATGATTTTCACTCCTTTTTTGGCATTCAGAAGGCCATTTAGCGGAAATGGACCATAGATCTGTGTTCACTGCACCTGCCCCTATTTCATGCAAAAAACCGTTTTCAAAAAGCGCTCCACGCCCTGAACGACCTCCCCTCGTTAGTGCAAAATATTTCCAATCTGCAGTGAAGGATTGGGTGAATTTCCAGTTTATAATGCTGGAATGCTCGGGCCCAATGCAATTCCCAATGAGTTCATGGTCCGTTTCATTTGATTAGTAGGAGTTTTGTGATACCACAACAGTAGTTACCTAGTCAAACACATAACCTAGCTGCGCCCCAACAAAGGCCCAAAAGTTCCTGAGCAGTTTCTTTCAACACCCCGCAGACATAACGGATTCCCACACAGCAGGTTCAAGTAGATCGGCAGTGTGAGAAAAAGAAAAAGCGAAGAAGGGCTCCGTAATGTCGGCAAGTATCTTTGATGCAGATGATTCTTGAAGGCTTGTGTGAGGATTGATTTGTTAGAACTCATCATCGATCGTTCGTCTTCCAACGAGGGGGCATATGGGACTCTTGAATGGGAACATCGTGTATGGGTTTTTCGGGAAGTCGAGGATTGCAGATGAGCGGAGGGTGCCTTCAAACCAGGGTCAACCGTTACGTTGGACCGACATTGGACCGACGTTGGACCGACGTTGACCGCTCTCCGCGCCGGCATTCGCACTCGCCTTGCGCGAGCCGTCTGTGTCTCCGTGCGTACGTTCACTCTCGGCATTACTCTCACACGCTAGAGAGCCATGCGTTGGACTTTGTCCAACGGACGGTTGACCCTGCTTCAAACGGCTTTCGGGAGCATCAATGGTGGCAATTCAGCCATCAAAGCGGAATCGCTTCCTTGTGTACGAACAAAGCTGTCCGCTATGCTCAAGAAGAAATCACTCAGAGTAGCTGCCCGCGGTTGCTGCTGCGAGCTTACAAAATAGCTCATTCTTTTAATGTTGAGTGTCGTGCTCGGGATGTACTAACACTTTCCAACACTCGTGGCATCAGGTAGCTAAAGTAGGGGAACTTAGTTACTTGGGCCACTGATTCTGCAATTACGCCACCTCGGGTCACGAACGAAACATACCTTCTTCATTCAATTCACTTCATCAGCACCAAAATTCACGTTGTAGAGATGTAAACTTTATTGAGGAGTTATCTAAAGAACGAATGGATGGATGAGACAGATGCTCCACAGAATCTTCTCGCCTTTTGCTATAAATGAACAAATAGCAATTAATCAAAACAGTAATCAAATCGCAACTATTTCAGGGTCTTCCCGGTCTGCAAGCACCACGCCATATCCGCCTCCACTAAGCTATAGCCAAATTCAAAACTTTCCCGACGATACCGAGCGGTCGTACGCTTCGGCTCGCAATCGCCACACCGTCGCGAATGGAAAGAAATCCGAGATCACTCCTGTTGAATAGTATCTGGGTTACTTAGGAGTTACTGCTTGACTGTTCCTCCTCACGTTCTTTGATTCTCTAAACTCACTCAATTGGATTCATTTATAAAGTTGTATCCATATCATACTGTGGTATGGAACCTAATGAGACAAAGTTAGCTGACATCTTTTGGTTAGATGACGAAGTAGCCCAGGAATCAATCTTACTTATTAAGAAACCTTTCTCACGGGTAACTTTGCTGATCGATTTTTGGCTATGGAAACCTGTTTTTGTAATCATATAGCATTTTCTTTATGAAAGAGCTTTGCTCGATGTGACACGTGGCGGTCCGGCGTTCAGTTTCGTCATGAGGCAAATATTGCTGCACAACAGTTTTTTTCTGTCACTAGCAAACCGATGATCTCAGACTGTCAACGAAAATACGACAACTGTTTTGATTCACTGTTCGCAATTCATCTTCATGTTGAATCTTTCCTTCACTGAATTATATTGTGTATGAGATGCCAAATATTGATTTGCTCTGGAGTTGCGTTATTGATTCTCATCGATTTTCTTTCGCATATCTGTTTTTTGATAATTCACGGGTTTACTACAATAAATGAAATATGAGCTGTTATCTCTCCGTCGTTCCAAAAGTTTTTGACCTCTCAGAAGAGCAGGTCTGCAGCCCTGAAACACTGTTGATCAGGCTAGTACATTGAATAGAGGTCTCCTTGTATCACTTGCGTAGTGGGTACCCGACAGGAGGCCCGTCGCGCAGCAACAAGGCAGAGTCAGCGGACAAATCGCAGCGCTTACTGTTGTGAATTCGTCGGCAGCACAAAGTATCAGGTCGCAACGAAAGTAATGGCGGATTCGACCCTCAATTTCAAAAACTCGTATCTTTCTTTGAATTGAACTTTATTCCTAATAATAATTCCCACAAGCACTTACACCAGTCCGCCATCGGTCGACAAGGAAACAAATGCCTCTCCTTCAAAATTCGGCAGGCTTCGAGTCGAAGAAGTGCCCATGTCCGCTTTCAACTATTGAAAGTTGTCGTAGTTTTTATCCTTTGAGAAGTGAGCCAGGGAAAGGAGTGGGTGGTAATCCGTAGGCGCAAGACCTGGCGAATATGGAGGATGGGGTAAAACCGCAGATCCAAGTTCCGCCAATGTGTCCTGGGTTACCCTTGCAACATGGGGTCACGCGTTGTCATGAAGAAGAAAAACTTCGTCCATCTCAGGGCGAAGTTTCGCGACTTCAACTGCGAGCCTTCGTGGTTGTGAGCAGTACACCTCGGCGTCGACGATGGTATTGTCTGGCATCTCGTAATGACGTGTTCCCCGAACTCTCCACCAAACTGACAGAGGAACTTTCTTGGGATGAACCTCCTGCTTTGGAACAGGCTCTGGCTTCTGGTTCGCACCCATTCACTGTCTTCTTCTGGTATGACATAGGTAGAGCCCCCACCTTTCATCTCCAGTAATTACATTATCCAACCAGTCGAAACGGCGACTCCTTGCAAGAAAACCTCCGCACACCCCGATACCTCTTTTCTTGCAATGCTCTGTCAGCTCATGAGGGATCAATCGACCAAGTTTCTCAACTTTTTCCAGCATGTGATGAACACGACCTGTGGCCATGTTGAAGCAGTGCATCTCCTTTGCCAGCTCCATGGCGCTTGCATGCGGAAAGTCTTGAAGTAACAGCTCCAAACGTTCGAAATTAACTTTCGTTGGGCGTCCATCTTCGAGGTTGTAGTTTCCTTCGCGGAGCCTTCTGAACCAAAGTTGGCAGGTTTTTTCACTTACCACTCCCCCTACTTCCACAGAGCATATTTTGCGGCAGGCTTCGCTCGCTGTGTGTCCCATACAAAATTCGCAAAGAAGTCAGTGGCGTACATGGGTAGAAACTTATGGCATTTTCCAGGCTCCAAAAGGCCTGCAGGAGGTGAGACTCGGAAATATGAAGGGATGTTACCATTCCTGTATATGGTTAAAAAATTTCCCCTCCAGGTTAATGCGCAGCCGTTTGTCAGGACTTTGAAGAAATGCGCCAGGACTTTCGTTGCGACCTAAGCATGCTACATTGTACGTCCGAAATCGCACATCAAGTGTTGCAGCTTGTCCGCCGACTCGGCCTCCTTGCCGAGCGACGGGCGTCCTGTCTGGTACCCCTTGCACGGTTCACATCCTCTTGATTTCCGACCCCATCTTCATACCTATGATCGGAGGTGGATGTACCGAGGAACGTCTTGCAGCAACAGCTCCATACCAAGGTAAGACAACAGACCCGTATATTGTGTTGGTATAGTTGTACAGCCCAAATTCTCGGTTACCAACTTTCGCCTACATAATTTCCTTCCTTCCGCCTCCACAATATCCAAGTTCTATCTCCGTGACTGGAGGACGTGGGGCGTGGAGGGGGGGGGGTTGAAGGCGTAATCCTGGTTATGTATGCGAATGTAAGTATTATTGTCTTGAGGTGAAGCAGGTGATATTTCGAATGTATGACGTTTCTTTATCGATTTAGGTTGTCCCTAATCCCATTCAGTTGCCATTAAATCACACGACTCATATTTCCTAATCGTAGCTGATTTTTCACCACCAGAGCCTCGTACTCCCTTTGTAAACAACATGTTATGTACGCCATTTTCGTATTTGTCCAACTCTCATGGATTCATTTTAAAATTTCAAACCAATAATCTGAGGGAGGTGCAGAGGCAGGTGATGAAATATTCGCGGGCATGCTCTTGGTATAACCCTACCCAATCTTGCCCATTTTATTAGGTTTTTTGTCGCTGTCAGTATCGCATACATACGAGAATGGTGTGGGAAAATCGCGAATACTGGTTGGAACTGAACTAATACTGAACCACTCGGGTCATTTCTCCGCACAATCAAAAGTTATGGCTCCAAAGTTCTTGACGCCTTTTCGTGAAATCCTTTTTTGTAATGCGCCATGCATTTTGCTCCAATTCGGAACCGCAACCACTTAATTAAGCAGTTGCATTGATTTTTACAGAGTTGTATTTAAATGTGGCAAGGCCACACGGCTAACAGCTGAGCCATCCGATATAAGGTAGTGTTTTTGTTTTCCTAGACGAATTTGATTACCTTATTGACAGCTGCAGAGAGATTTGAGACTTGGTTGGAATGAACGGAATTTGAGCCGGAATTCATCCACTGGATAGTGCGTTAGAAAAGTGGTGGCACTCTCCTATACATCTTCTCCAAGCACACATAAAAACCATTATGATTAGGAATGGCTGAAAGGCTGGCCGTACGGAAGTGGTTGGTATGCAGTATGCATGGCTCCTATCCAGAATCCTAGAAGAATTTTAATGCAAGTCTGCATAGACAAGCCATGGTTTCGTCTTTCAAGGCAGGTATAGGTGCAATTAACCTACGCCGAAGGCTGTTTGGTTTATAGAATGCAATCATATGTATGACCCGGGCGAAAAGATCGTTCCCTAGCTTTTCCCTACAAACAGTAGCTCCACTGAGCTACTGCAAACTATAGAACGGACATAAGTAAGCCGTGCACGAGAGACCATTTTATGATCAACTACTATTATACTCCCATCACTCTGAATGCACCTCACTCTTGTTTATCTCTATCAGAACATTTTCGTAAGGATCGCCTGACAATGGGGCTGAGTAGGACTACTTGTGGACTACGGTGCTTGCAAGTCGGTTTAGTTTGCAAGTACTCTCCATTATGGCGAAGACGTGGTGAGTTGTTGGTTTGGAGAAATTCTCAACGTCAAAGGCTGAGATCACAGGACGAGTTCCATTCCGATTTCAGTTCCAAGGATCTCGTTACGCCTTTCCTTATAAAAATGTTAGGGCGAATGCAGGTGCTAAGTACAAACCTGAAATGCGAAAAGCACGATGGTAACTACCTTTTGACATATAACAGTCCAAGGCATCCACAAAGAGGAAGACGAAGGACTCGCAGGTATTAAATTCAACATACCACTCTTAAATACAAATTTGGTTGAAACGAGTTATCCAACACAACTCAGAGGGGAGATAAGCTAACCAGCCCCTTTGGCGTTTCTGCTGGGGCCGTATGCTGAATGTTGGGGAGGGATGGGGTCCCCGACGGTCGACCGACTACTTCTACTCGGTCGACGTAGAAAGCAATGAGTCGCGCGCGGGAAAGCGCAGATCCGCCTCTGTCCAAAGGTTTAGTCGGGTAAGCAAACCACCCCTCTAGGCGAGCTGCTGACTAGCTGCCGCCACTTAATCATTCCCTTCACAACATTCAGCATACCGCCCCAGCAGAAACGCCAAAAGGGCTGGTTTGCTTCCCTCCTCAGAGGGCTTGCGCATTGTCGCCCATCAGCTGAGGTACGGCAAACAGGTACCAGTCATGAGGTTGCTCACTCTTGCCATGGGAAGTAGCCGACTGTGGGGCGTTTGCTTCTGCAAACCAAACGCTCACGCCATAGTCGACCTAACGCACCTAAAGAAACATCCAGACAAAAGTGGATGGGTAATGGGATGGAATGGACGGCCATTAAGAAAAAAGAGAAAGTCAGTGAAAACTGCTGTAATACACAAGCCCCTTGGTCTAGAGCTGTTCAAGAGCCGGAGATCGAGACAGAGCGAAACTCACGCCGAGAGGAGGAAAGATTTGGTGCGAACGAGTATGGCAGATCGACAGTGATTCGATACACACGAGATACCGCCACACTGGGGTGCACGCATCCACACGAGGATTCAGTTCCTATCGCTAGGCCTCTTAATAACGCATTTCAAGAAGCAAGAGTGGCTGTACTTGCGCACCCAACGAGGCACCCACAAGAGGGTTTGCTTATGAACCTGATGTGCCTTTCATTTCGCGGTGGTGGTGCGGCGCAGCCACGTGTGGTGGCTTATGGACTTGGAGACCCATCTTTCTCACCCTGAGGGACTTCCTCTTTGCACCTAATCCCGACCCGTGCTCAACCAAATTGCCGTGTGTCCTCGTGCGCAACATTGTTGCTAAAGATTCAACTATGCATATGTTCTTGGCGATATTTATCTTCAGCGTTGCTCCGCTCGGAGTCGCGGTCGTCTATCGGCTATCGGACCAGCTCAGACTACACCTCATCACTCAACTACTCCGACTTCTCGGCCAATAAACCAGTATGATATCACTCTTACAGCTAGTAATTTCTGTGCAAAAGGATCAGTTGAAGGGTGTATTTATGAGACTCGGTCTGTCAAGATAAATTTGTCCAAGGTTTTCACCACGGTAGATGTGAAGGTTGGGAAACTTGGTAGAGAAGTTCTCCAAAGGATATAGGGCTATTCGAAGTTGATCAGGTTCACTTTGCCACCGCCACACATTCTGTTATACTGCCACTACTAGTTACAGTGGCATTCGGGGAAGAACCTGACTCCTCGGAGATTAGCCAAAATAAGAGCAGTGACCATATCCTATTTCGAAGGTTTTGCAAAGTCAACCGGTTAGGAGTGGGAAGATGTCTGGCTGACCTAGATGGGATTCACGCCTGCATTTGGCCGCCAGCCTGCATGGAATCCAGTGCCGTTTCTGCAATTACAACTACACTACCTTTGCTCTAAAGAGGAAACTCGGTAAATGGCGAAATCTAGTAGAGAGCCTGCATGCTGGGTACGTGGTTACTGTATCCCCCCTTCTGGCTACAACATGTAGCCCCCCACTCTGAAAAATCAAGATAAGCCCAAGAGGGCGGTTATCGGGAATGCAAAGGGCGTGAGGCATAGGATCGGGAACAAATGGATTGTGGTATCAATCACGAGATATGGGAGTAGAGACGACGAAGTGGATAAAAGTGCGAGTGTAGTAATGAAGTTAAAGGACGAATTCACGATTAGAAGGTCGAAGAAGGAGTAATTCACCTAGTTGAGGGACCCGCGGACCTCCTAGGGTGCGGACTGAAGCGCAATTGGCACCGAAGGAGTTGACCTCGGCGACCTATTAAGGCTCAATCTTGGCGCGGTGGGCCAGTGCACGCCCACCGATCATCTGATCACTCGCCGCAGGTCTATACGTGGCGAGTGATTAGATAGGTGAGAGAGCGTAGTGTTGAAGAGGGCACAGCGATGATAGTCGCATCAATGCTCAAATCAACGGGCAAGGAAGGGTTCCTTCAGGTTCTGGGCCGTTTCTCATGGTTTTTCCTTCTTTAGTGTACCACTCACCATCGCTAAGTTAATTGAAATGGGTTATGCCTCTTTTGGGCGTGAATTCATCCTTTCAGTTGGGAGGCGCATAACAACCAAACTATGGGCAGATAATCGTATCGAATGTTGTGCGACCTGACCCGTTGGGTGGAATGAATTTGGTCAAGTTCTCAAGCCTAGCGTCTTAGTGACGCGTATCAAAGTGCGAAGATGGTGCGATTTCTGCAGTTACGAACCATTACGGACCACGCACCTCTGCCCACGGGGGGGGGACTTCTCCGGTGATGCTAAGCCCTGATCTTGCCTTTAAGAACCGATCAATTCCTTCTGGAAAATCATTTTCGCCTCTTCTTCTAGAGTACACACTCAGAAGCAGAGTGCATATGCATGGTGGAAGTGCGATTCGTGCTTTATCATCGTAACATGAACGGAAGGTGAGTCCCAGGATTGGCTCCAAGGGTTTTACCTGTAAGCAATTATCTTTACCTAAGAGCACAACTGAGGATCAAGGACGAGTTTCCATGCTGCGTTACAGTTCGAGAAGTTATCGATCACTTCCGGATCGAAACCGACGGCGTTCATCGGTTAGTTCATAGCCCAGTTTATCATTGCTTTAGCCGTCAGGTTCGTGCCAACCACAGCAGGATCTGAGGTCATTAGTTTCACGGCATAGGGGGGGGGGGTGGGAGGTGAATATGAAGGTAATTGTACTTTCATGTCTTCAGAGGTGTGTCTTTGCTCCAGTCTTTGGATCGCACTTGTCTGCGAACGCAACAGTACCTATCCATTGAAGGACACCGATTTAGACAAAACCTTGGCCGAGCTGTGTGGCAGCGATGTTGATGCCAACACAATCACTATCATAGCAGATGTAACTCGCTAAAACTTAACAGTGACTGAAATCTAGTTATTCAATTTTGACTTCAACCACAGATTTAATACAGTGCTTACTTCTTTATGAAAACACCCTACAACACTACTGTGGCCTTCAAAATTGCTTTTTTAAAGACATTTTTTGTGCACTGGCTAAATTGCTACAGTGTCGAAATAAAGATTTTTAGCAAAAAGTTCAAAATGAGAGATCAAGCAGGGCGCCTCGATTGTGCCAAATGTTCGAATAGAATGCTGGAATCAAATCCCCTTCTCACTTTGCCCTCCCAAAACGATGGCTACATTTTAGAGAGCACTGCATTGATGATGAGTGAGCAAAAGAAGTTTTAAAAGAATAGCTTCGAAGAATGTAGGGAGTGGGTGTCGCTCCGATCAGTGGAAAAACGTGAGGAGGTGCATTAAACCACGCCCTTCGGAGAGCTGAGGAATCTGATCCACCAATGAAGCGCAACGACCTGATGAAGATCGGACGCGGGCCATTAAAACAGCCAGTCCCAGCAGGGTTCTTACCTTCGACACTAATGGTGTGAAAAGATGTGCTACCCCTGTTCAAGAACGTAGAATGTGACTGAAACAAAAATTCCCTTGGAAAGATGATGGGAATGTTGAGCCCGGAGAGGGAGAAACGCCTTCTCGAAGTGAGCGTGGCGGCCATCGCTCGCAAGTCTCTCTTGTCAGCCGTGGAGATCGCGTGAATGGCTGCGGAGGCATTTGCGATCATTTTTGGACCACAGGAACATTTGGCCTGATCGTTTGGGACCAATAGGAACTATTCGAGCCAGGGTCAACCCTACGTTGTTACGAGTAACAACGGGGGTCGTACTCACTTGAGCTTGGAGGGGGGGGGGGTCGTACTCTCTCGGTGGCCGGCAGTGGGATTCTTGCTTGATACCCTACTGATCATGGATAGTGGTACGAAGGGAAAGAGCAAACGCAGCACAGAAAGTGTATATTATGTAGTGTATATAAGTGCAATTATGCAAAGCCTTCTCCCCATAGACGCAGTCATGAACAGGAAGACATGCAGCATCGTCTGAAAAAAGTGCTCGCACCATGACATGGATAAAGCCACGAAACCACATATGAAACTATTGCCTGTGAAAACATGGATAATAGCCAGCACGTTACGTTTGCGCAAGATGACTGATACTAGAGCATCTATAAACCACGCTCCCTCTAAATGAGCTTTCAAATGAATCAGCGAATTAGAAGGGCGCCCGAGGCGTGGCGCGCACCAAGGCAAGGGATGTAGTGCAAGCGCATGCTCGAAGCTTTCTAGCACATCCTAAATTAAACATAAAATTGGTCTTCCAAGAAGTTACGGGCAGTGAAACCTAAGAAAACTCGCGTTTTCGAGAAAATGGCTTGAAGAATACCCCTCAAAATAAAAAGTAACAACGGGACTAATTTGAACTGCTGATCTTTCAGGAACGCTTGGGTGCTCGTTAGAAAGCTTGAAACCTGTAGTTTATTATACCGTGTTCAGCTTCCCAAATGAATGACTTTGAAGGAAGTTATGATCGTTTGAAGGTAAAAAAGTCGCGGTTCCAAAAAATAGTAACGCAAACCCCCAAAAAGTAACAACGGGACTAATTTTTGAACTACTGATCTTTCAGGAACGCTTGGGTGCTCGTTAGAAAGCTTGAATCCTGTAGTTTATTATACGTGTTCAGCTTCCCAAATGAATGACTTTGAAGGAAGTTATGATCGTTTGAAGGTCAAAAAGTCGCTTTGCACAGAAAAAAGTAACAACGTACTAAATTTTTATTAAATTAACTTTCGAAGAATTTTACCCATGGTTGGAGAGAGAATAATTTGAATTTTCCAAATCAAATCACTTCGGCGCAGAAGCTCGAATATGAAGGAAGTTATAGCCCTAGAAAGAGGAGTGTAAAAATTGCGTTTCAATTTTATTTTTTGCCTAATAACTTATTCATTCCGAAGTGTTTGAGAACAAATGAGCACTCGTTAGGAAGAAGGAGCCACGTCGATCCAAAATCCACCTGAATCTTCCGAACTACCTGAAATGTAAAAAAAAACTCGAATTTTCACATTCCCGTTCGACGCCTCTTCACCGTGAGCAAATGCGCTCCACCGTCAGGAGGCCAAAGGGACTTACGTAGCAATAAATATTGATGGTAAACACTGTCTCTACACAAGTGTTACATACAAGGGGGGGGGTCGTATCAAATCACCCATGAAGGGGGGGGGTCGTAAAAAATTTCCAAAGAGTAACAACGATAGGGTTGACCCTGCTTGGACTTCGTTTTGGGACAAACTTTGAACTTGATCCATAATCGCAAATGCCTCCGCAGCCAATCACGCGATCTCCACGGCTGGCAAGAGGGGCTTGCGAGCGGTGGCCGCCACGCCCACTTCGAAGGCGTTCAACTCCCTTTCGCGGCTTTCCAAGGTGAGTTTTTTGTTCAGTCACACTTCTTATGTTCTTGACTAGGGCTAGCGCATCGTTCCACACCATTAGTGTCGAAGGTAAAAACCCTGTTGGGCGTGTTCTTTAAGATGAAGGGGTAATGCAAAGGCATGGAACCCGATCGAGCGGGTGTGTGATTTTATCAGGAAGTTGGACAAGAACTGCGTGGGGGGAGAAAAGCAGAAAGGATCATGGAAAACGTTCAAATTTCTCTTGTGAGTTAGACAGTGGTGTCGTGCCAGGCGGATCAGTGGAGTAAGACGCATCGGCGAATCCGACGAGACACGGCAAAAACGTGGGATTCCGGTGGGTGCCCACAACACCTCTGAAGGGAAGATGCGTGCAACGAAGAATGCTTGATGACCGAAGTCCTTGATGCCTGCAGCGGGTTGACAAGAGGCCTTGCTTCCCTGTGCCCAAAGGGCATAAGCGTGCTGGCGCGTGCTGATTGCCTAGTAGTGCGAAGGATGTCGATCTGCCAAGTGAACAAGAAGAGGATCCAAGATGACACGATGGATCGACTAGGCGAGGATTGATGGCGGCGTGTGCGCGGCGTAGACTGTGTTAGACTTGACTGTTATAGGCCTATATATTACACTTCTTCATATCGCCTGAATAAACATTACATAAATAATACTGATAAATACATACTAGAAAGAGTTCACGAAAAGAGTCTGTATCTTGTAAATCCTATTGCAAGAATAGAAGAGAAGAATACTACGATTGATGGTGACTACGATTGACTATTATTAAGAGAATACTAACCAAATACAAAGAAGGAACCTAAGGTGCTAACTCCCATATTGAGACTAACTAAGTTCTAAGTGGAAGAAGTAAGGTAACTACTAGAGGTTATCCCGGCGAGGTGACTGAAGCTAATATTTAGGTAAGAATATATAAGCTAAAGTCAAACTAACTATTATATGGCGAGCTGGTGTCATCGCATGAAGATGGAATAAGAATAACAGCGATGAATAGCCGATAACCGGAGAGGCGAATAGAGGGCGACCGCTCACGGATGATGCAATGGCGAAGAATGACGTGGCTACGGTTCGCGCGCAGTTTGAAGGCGCAGGCAACCAAGGTCCTGTGCCGATGGCGCGGAGTTTGAACCGGTATTTCGCCCTGCCTCTGACCAGCTGCCTTTAGAGCACCTTTACTCGAGGTCGTGGCGCTGTCACGACAGTGGTACGACGGAGAGACACTGCACTGCGAGGAGAGGGAAAGTGCAAGAAAGCACATCGTAGGCGAGAAATCGCAGATCTTATGTATGCTGCAATTATTACGCTTGGAGCTGCCTTTAACTTCTTTGCCGCGCAGCTTCAACTCGCTGCTACCCATGTGATTAGGGATCCTACTAGCTTGTTAAGAAGAGCAATCCTGTGAGGATTCAACTGCGACCTGTGCCTTTGAAGGCTTGCCTCAATATCGGTGGGCCTGCACGGAAACCTCAATGTTAGCCCTTTGTTTACCGTATTGAAGTGCCACTAAAGGGACACTTGAGGGCCCTATAAGGGTCTGTGCGTTTGATAGCACGACGCTGTGCGATTTCGAGAATTTCAGTAATTTTTGTTACATTTTAGAATACTAGTGGAGCAATCATTACAGCTATGTTCATTTTTTACCGCAATGATCCCAAGTTTTTGATACATGATGTGCATTTATAGGGGTTGGAGGGGGGGGGGGGACAGGATAGTAATCGTGCTGCCACCCACTTACTTGAATTCCTGATGTTCGAAGATGCTGACTTGGCAGCATCGCGGTTATGCTTTACATTTGAAAAAACCTCTTTCAAATATTTATTTTGTCCAATTTATTATTAGGATCTAAGTCATCAGTTATGTACATATACTCAAGTCATAAAAGTCACAATGCTAATTTATAAATGGCATAAATATGGATATAAATAAGAAACCGATTTGATTGTGCATAATATAGCTTCAACCTATCTTCTTGAATTCTTCCAAACATCATTAATATTAATAATTATTTTTAAGGAGTAAATTTCATGTTAACGGCCGTTTTCTTGTTATTATCTTTTATTGGTGCTGGCGAGTATTGATGGTCCTGCAAGTGGAACATTTACATGCTTGAGCAATCTTTGGCAACTAAAAACAAAAGCTTGCAGAGTTTGCAGGGAACGACACTTTTAGAAACCCTCAAAATCACTACCATGGAAA